AGGGGCTCCTGGCCTTACTCCTAGGAGCAAGAACGCTACCAGGGGCTATTGGCATCGCTACTGGGAACAAGGATGTACTGGGGGCTGATGGCCTTGCTACTAGGAGCAAGAACGCTACTGGGGGCTCCTGGCATCGCTACTAGGAACAAGGACGGTACTAGGGGCTGCTGGCCTTACTACTAGGAGCAAGAACGCTACTAGGGGCTCCTGCCATCGCTACTAGGAACAAGGACGCTACTAGGGGCTCCTGGCCTTCTACTAGGAGCAAGAACGCTACTAGAAGCTCCTGGGGGGCTCCTGGCCATACTACTACGAGCAAGAACGCTACTAGGCCCTGGCATCGCTACTAGGAACAAGGACGCTACTAGGGGCTGCTGGCCTTACTACTGGGAGCAAGAACGCTACTAGGGGCTCCGGCATCGCTACTAGGAACAAGGACGCTACTAGGGGCTCCTGGCCTTACTACTAGTCGGTTGTAGGAACAAGAACGCTACTAGGGCTTGTGGCCTTGCTACTGGGAGCAAGAACGCTACTAGGGGCTCCTGGCATCCCTACTAGGAAGAGCAAGAACGCTACTAGGGCCTCCTGGCATCGCTACTAGGAACAAGGACGCTACTAGGGGCTCCTGGCCTTGCTACTAGGAGCAAGAACGCTACCCTGGCATCGCTACTAGGAACAAGGACGCTACTAGGGGCTCCTGGCCTTACTACTAGGAGCAAGAACGCCACTAGGGGCTCCTGGCATCGCTACTAGGAACAAGGACGCTACTAGGGGCTCCTGGCCTTACTACTGGGAACAAGAACGCTACCAGGGCTCCTGGCATCGCTACTAGGAACAAGACGCTACTAGGGGCCCCTGGCCATACTACTAGGAGCAAGAACGCTACTAGGGCCTGGCATCGCTACTAGGAACAAGAACGCTACTAGGGGCTCCTGGCCTTACTACTGGGAGCAAGAACGCTACTAGGGGCTCCTGGCATCGCTACTAGGAACCAGGACGCTACTAGAGGCTCCTGGCATAGCTACTAGGAACAAGGACGCTACTAGGGGCTCCTGGCCTTACTACCAGGAGCAAGAACGCTACTAGGGGCTCCTGGCGTCGCTACTAGGAACAAGGACGCTAGTAGGCGCTCCTGGCCTTACTACTAGGAGCAAGAACGCTACTGGGGGCTCCTGGCATCGCTACCAGGAACAAGGACGCTCCTAGGGGCTCCTGGCCTTACTACTAGGAGCAAGAACGCTACTAGGGGCTCCTCACATCGCTACTAGGAACAAGGACGCTACTACTTGGCGTTGTTTAGCAGTAGCTTGGTTGCTCTTGGGGTCTTCTTTGTTGCTAAGTTGAGTAATTATTTATTTAAAGGTGTGCATGATGGTGCTATTCAAGTTAATAGGTGTTGCTAAGTTGAGTAAGAGGCGTTGCTCAAGTACAAAAGGTCACCCGGGCCCAATGGCTTGAGGGTGGTTTTATAGCTTTTTGAACATTAAGCATGGTAATTATGTTCCTGAATTTCGTCGCATCAATCCTGATACAGAAAACCGTCGCCTCCCACCTACGAAATTAAAGGCCGACTAAATTAAAGTGGTCACTGGGTTCACCAGGGTTGATTGGTCAATTATGTTTCCCAAAGCCACGCAGCAGCGACGCTAAGCGATTCTTTTTCCACGCTCAGTCGAGGAAGAGTTCGTCATTGCCTTGCCGACTTATCATCGGAGCTCGCGCAAAGTAGCCTGCCACAGCTGGAGTATGATATCAGACCACTTGCCACTTGCGCCTGCTCCACTGCCAGGGTCGGGTACCTTCTTGTCATGGTCACGACGGCCAAGGTCGTGGTCATCTGTTGGCGGAGGGGAGCTCTGACGCTGGATCTCATCTTCGTCGTTGTCAGGTGGGCCAGTATAGCCCCCTTCTGCCACAGGAGCTTCCTCCAATTTTTGCCATCTTGGAGACAAGCTTGCCAGGAGCGCTGCTTGTCCTTTGACTGGTGCCAAACCCAATTGAACGGCGATCTCCGGTGCTGGAACGAACCTGCTGGTCCCCCGCCGACGACGCGGCCACATCTGTCGTCGCTTGTGTTTGTCATTCTGGTCGGCGGTGGCCCTTGGGCCACCGTCGGCCTTGACAAGTGCAGTGGCAGCGTGAGTCTTGTCAGCCGCTGTGGCTGGACCACCGTCACCCTTGGGTGGAGGGGTGGCAGACTCATTGCCTGCAGGCAAGGTGCGAGGATCAGGCTGAGCTGGTTGTTGTCCAGGGTCGTCGTCACCCTGTTCCTCTTCCATGGACTCAGTAGCGTCGTCGTGGTCAAGGTCCATTGACTTGTCTGTTTTCCCGGAACCCAATGGAGGCGGCAGCGGGTTGGCGGCGGTGTGTGGCTCTGGCGGCGCCGCGGTCGCAGCCGCGGCTTCGGACGGAGCCGGCGTCAAGACAGGTTTGCTCAATGAGCGGCGGCAGGTCTCCCGAGGACAGGGGTCCCGCCGGTCTCTGCTTCGGCTTCTTATTTTTTTCTTGTCATCATCTCGCCGCCGCTCATAGTCGCGGCCGCGTTCGCGGCGTGCCCGGCGGTCATTGTCCTTGTTCGTCGCCATTGCCTGGCAGCGACGATGGCGAGATGACGACGACGATGGGGGATTTAAAATAAATGTCAATTTATAAATGTTTGCACCTAAAAACAATAAGCATTTGCCTGGAGTCCGTAGACTCACACTGACCTGACTGAAGTCCGTAGACTTTCCCTGCTGGAGCCCGTAGACTCTGACCATTGAAGTCCGTAGACTTTCGCTGGAGTCCGTAGACTCTGACCATTGAAGTCCGTAGACTTCCCCTGAATCCGGAGTCCGTAGACTCTGGTCCTTAGACCTTTGTCGACTGGGAGTCCGTGGACTGAAGATTGACAGGATGTCGTCGTCCATGGACGATTCAATGTCACATGGATCCCTGGTCCTGACATGATTAAGTTAATTTACATATTAATTTAATTATTATGTCGTGTGGATTCTAATTGCGATGACCCCCAGGGCGCCCACCTTGTCGGGCCAGCACTCGCGAGAGTCGCCGTCGCTTACGCTTGAGCCAGACACAGCTGAGTAGAAACGACAAATCAAGTGTTTAATAATAACCCTTCAAACCTGACATGTAGACAACCGTCAGTGAGTCTTAATTAATATGAGTGTTTCACCCTTCACACAAGATGGCAGCAGGGATGCATCTTTTTTCATCTTCTCGTTGTCTGGTTTGGTGGGAAGACTGCGCCGGCCGGTTTCAAAAAAACCTTCTAAATCAGCTCTTTTAAAGTGGCTTGCCACATTTGCAGCAGCAAGTTCCTGCCGGAGGACCCTGCTCCTCCGTCCGGGCCAGGGTCTCCTTGGTGGTCTTTGTCAAAGCGGGAACGTTTCGTGTCTACTTCGCTTCTCACTGGAACTGGAGACCTTTGCTTTTTCTTTGGCTTGTTGGGCAGCGTGTCATCCTCCGGACCTGTGGTGTTCGTCGACCAGCAGTGCTTGCTCCAGCGCTGCCCTTCCTCGAGACAATTCTTCCAACGAATCGTCTCATTGTGGTTCCAGTAGTGGTAGCAAGCTAAATGGTAAGGTGACCGGCGATGTTGCCACGAGCCGGCAATTCCACCTCCGACCACGCGGTTGCAGACACTGCATTCATACCGACCAGTCTTGTCGTCGTCGGTCTGACCCTGAGGCTTCTCACCTTGGTCAGCCTTGTCACCTTGGTGAGACTCGTCTTTGCGCTTCGACTCCGGTTTGTGACCTTGGTCACGCTTCACACCAGGTTTGTGACCTTGGTCACGCTTCTCGTGACCTTGGTCACGCTTCTCACCAGGCTTGTGACCTTGGTCACGCTTCTCACCAGGCTTGTGACCTTGGGCACGCTTCTCACCAGTTTTGTGACCGTGGTCACGCTTCGTCTCACCTTGGTGAGGCTGAGGCGGGCCACCTGAGCGCTTGTGCGTCGCGGTGGTCCGAGTGCTGGTCTCAGCCTTGGCTGGACCTGGACGGGCTGCCTCGCCAGCCCCTGGCACGGCGTGCTTTACAGGGCGCAGGTCGTCGACTGAGACTGTTGGGTCCATAACACAGTCTTCTGATTCTTCACCTTCTTCGTCGTCGTGCGACGGCGGTTCAGTCGCCTCAGCTTCTCCAGGAGCTGCAGCCTCTGCAGACGGAGCAGGAGCCGGAGCAGCTTGCGCTGGGACTAGGACAGGCTTGCTGCTGCGAGACCTGTCAGTCTCCTCGTCCCTGCCACGCCGCTCTCTGTCTCTGCTTCGGTTCGTCTTTTTTGCCCGTCTGTCACGGCTTCGACCCCGTTTCTCTTCGTCTCTTCGGCGATCACGGTCACGGCGGTCGCC